TACCTGGACATCTCCTCTGGAAAGACTTTGCCGAGCTCTGAGATAAGAAGACTCTTGAATTTCTGTAAAAGAAAGTACAGCGGTGGAGGTTGGTTTAATTATGATTTCTAACATTTTACATAAAAGTTGAACTAATGTTATTTATGTATATGTTCAAAACAACTTAAACTTCATGTTTGTTAAGTATAATCAACTTTGGGGAAATTTGCAATACCAAATGAGAGAAACTGGCTTTAAAAAAAAATAAAGTTTCCAATGGACTACAAGAACTCCCCCTCCTGTTGGCTCGAGGTGAATTCTCCAGAGAATATCCCTCATGTAATGAAAACCATTACAGACAAAGATGTTTCTATGGAATTCCTAAACATGATTGAGAGCAGATATTGAGTTCTGTAAATTCATACGGAGTCTTTGAGTCAAGTTAGGTCATTTATAATATAGTACATTTAAAACCATCTCAGTTTACCAAAGTGCAGTCGAGGTTTACACCACAATAAGAGGGATGAGCTCCATATCCCTGGCATTATTTCTTACCGTCATAGTGTCAATCTTCCCTTTGACCTGCTCATTCCTCGCCAAGGCTCTCTCCAGACATTCCTTGGTGTACAGCTGAGGGTTTCGACCTTGGTCAATGTACCTACAAACAAAAGACTAAATATTAGTTTAGGGGTTTTTTTTTGGTTTTTTTTTAAAGTTTAAACGCACAAATAGGAAAATGTCTATTCAATAAGTCAAATCAGGTAAATTTGCCTTTCTTCTTATTCAAAGACTCCACAGATGTCTTCAATAAAATGATGATTTGATCATCTCAACTTAAGTTTTGTTAACTTATTTCTGTGAATTATTTTTGTTTAAACAACACACCCATAGATGCAGTACAAAAAGCAGGGACACACATACTACCTATTACTGTCATTGTAGCTATAAATCTTTTTTAGTCGTTGTTGTTCTGTCTCTCTCTTCCTGCATGTCCCTCTATCCCCTCTCAACACCAACACTGTTTTGGCAGATGGCTGGTCAACATGAGTCTGGTCCAGTTCAAGGTTTCTTCCTCCTGAAGGCAGTTTTTGCTAAATGTTGATTAGTGTTGTGCTCATGATGGATTGGTGGATGGCGGAAAAGGATAATTGAAGCAGTTTTTCTTTCAGTTTTGGATTATGGTGATGTGGTCTATAGGCATGCCTCTTCCACTACGTTAAAGCCCTTAGATGCCGTTTACCATTCTGCGATTAGATTCATCACCAGTGACAGCTACATGACTCACCACTGCATTCTCCATGATAAAGTTGGTTGGCCCTCCCTCACTGAGAGACGCAATAACCACTGCCACCTTTTTTTAATCTATAAAGCTCCTACTGGAAAGCTTCCATCATATATCACCTCCCTGTTAAATCTGAACCCTGGTCCATTTTTAACCCGCTGGAGAGAGAGAGAGGCTGGTTCTCCAGGTTCCTCATGCCAGGACTGACCTGGGGAAAACTGCTTTTAGTGTTTGTGCTGCAAACTCCTGGAATATTTTACAACCTAAATTTGAGCACTTTTATCACTTATTACTCTTATTTTTAACCAACCAATACCTGACTGTAACTGTTTTATTTGATTTTAATTACTGACTTATCACTGTAGTCATTTCAAGCCTTTAAATTATTTTAGTGTATATATTTTATTGCTCTTTTATTGATTTTATTTTCTGTAGTAGCTTTATCTCATTGTATGTATGTTTTCTCGGCATCACTGTAAACGAGGGTCGCCCTCAATGACCCCCCCGAGAACTTTAAAAATAAAGGTTGATGATGATGAGTGTCGGGCGACGTCTTTATAAACAATATGATAATGAATGAAGTCTAGACCTGCTATTTTTTTAAGTGTCTTGAGAAAACATCTGTTGTGAATTGGTGCTATACAAATAAAGACTGACTGATCTTACAGTTGAATTTATAAAACTATTCCTTCATTATTTTGACAGTGTAAATATGCCGAACTGTGTGTGTTTCTCAACACTTCAGAATAAAAGTGCCATTTCAATTCAATTCAATTCAATTCAATTCAATCTTTATTTGTATAGCGTCAACTCATAACAAGTGTTATCTCAAGACACTTCACAAAAAGCAGGTAAAAGACCTTACTCTTTGTCTGTTAACATTACAAAAGAGCAGGTAAAAAGACCTTACTCATTGTTATGTTACAAAGACCCGGCTTATCCATCATGAGTCCTTGTGACCTTTCCTGACACTGACTAACAAGCTTTCCTTTCTTTTTTTCTTCATTATTATTATTATTATATTTTTTTTTTTATTCAGCTTTTTTCTGATTGTGTAATACTGGCTGGTTGGTGGGTGGCTAGGCTTGGGGGAGCATTAAGTGTGAGTGAATGTGAGTGTCTCTGTGTTTAAATGTTTGGTATTATGTTTTGGATTTAGCTTTTATTTTGATTTTATATTACATGATTCATTTATGTTTTTTTTGTAAGGACCCCCTTGAAAATGACATGATGCATCTCAAGGGGGGCTATCCTAGAAATAAATTACAAATGTCATTATTTTTGACACGCGTAAATACGCCCAACTGCGCATGCGTTTCTCAACACTTCAGAATAAAAGTGCCATGAGTCCTTGTGACCTTTCCTGACACTGACTAACATCTTAAAAAAATGTTCGATTTTAAATGGGATTCAATGTCAGCGCAGCTTAATGCAACACATCTAGGAAAGTGTGCAGCAGAAGGTTACAGACACGACACTTGATGAGCTATGAGACTTACTCAAAGACCTCCAGAGGCACATTGATCTCATGAAGCTGCTGACGACACTTCTCGATATCTTGCAGCCCAGATATCATGAAATTTCTGTAATGCAAAGTCAAGAGCACAGGTAAAGGTAATGCTTAATGCAGATAGGTTTCGGTATAATGCTGTGAATAACACATGACTCACAGTTTCTGGTTGAGTCCTGTCTGACTGCTGGGCTGGAAGTCGCTAACTATGATCCCCAGCTGCCGAATATTCTCGATAAATTTCTCCAGGTGCTCCTCCAGATTATCAAATTTTTCAGCCATTGTCCGCTAAACGCCTTTCGAGTCAATGGAAATGTCCCGAGTTTGTAGAAATCCTCTGAGTCAAACGATCGCTGTTTACTGCTAACCGCTAGCTACCGCTTCTACGACGCTCGCTGAGCCGATGTGCTTTACGGCAACAAAAAGAGCCAATCCGCTTGTAGGCACTCTTCCGCTACCAAGGCAACAACCAATGGCAGACTGTCGTTAAGTGTCGTGCTGGGAAAGCTTCTTCTTTGTTAGAACCCTCTGCGATCAGAAGCATAAAGTGCAGAGAGTTCGTTCATCTACGTGAAAGTGACTCGACTCCATTCAAGCCAGCTGTGTTTAAGTTGATCTTGAATGTGTGTGGATTGCATTGACAGCTGTGTATTTGTTTTCAGTTTATTATTATTTATTTTTTTAAATATGATAGGAATTAAACCGCACCATGCTGAGTAACATGCCCGACATGAACATGTGTTGCACTACAACTCAAAATCTGAATTATACTCTCTAGAAAGGACCACTTGTTGGATAAAGCTAGAGACAATGATTTAGTGAGAGACCCTCAAGCAAGTTTCACATTAGAGATAACAGAATTTGTATTTATTGCTTCAGGAATATTGAGAGTCGTGAGTAGTATTAAAGAGAATAAAGGGTGGTGTGTGTGTGTGTGTGTGTGTGTGTGTGTGTGTGTGTGTGTGTGTGTGTGTGTGTGTGTGTGTGTGGGAACATTTTGCAGTCGGCTGTTAAATATTTCTACTATGCAGGCTTATGAGAGACAGGAAGTTTTGCTCATGTAATTCTGATGTCAGCATTTCCTTTGCCCTATATGGCCAAACGATTAGATAAGGCAATGAAGAATGGTGTGTGTTTAATTTACGAACATATTCTGTGTATAATATGTTTTGCACCTTTGAAATATAATGTGTTGGGAGTCATACATACAGAATTTTTTTTTTTTTTTTGGGGGGGGGGGTGAGAAAGCTTTTTAAATGTTGCAACACATTCAGCACTCAATGAAAATGGGACAAAACAGCCTTAATTTTGTTTTTAGTAAGTATAAGATTTATAAACCTGCTGACATCACGTCAATGATACTGAAAGTGAAGGTTAATGTCGGTGGCACTAAGATGACAGTCTTCTGGCATTTTCTTCCTGGACTGTATTTCACAGGTATTTGCAGCAGCAGCAGCAGCAAGACACGCATTGTTAGGCAACGACATGGGGAAATGAAAACTTGCCTTCACAATAAAGGTAGGTCCACCATTACTTGCAGATACGGCGCATTGTAGGTTAAAAACACAAGACTGTAAATATTACAGTTTCTTTTTTCTTTTCTTTTTTATCTCTAAATGTGTTATTATGTTTTGCCCAAACCCAAGTTGAATGGTACAGGGATGTTTTTGTATGATATAGGCCTGTCTCTTACTGTCGAATACTTTCATTTTCATCTTTGCAACACCTTCTTGAAGCCTTGGCTCCTCTGGATGTGTTAAATGTGCATTGTAATTACATTTCACTCTAGGGTGTTCATCTTTTTACCTGTTCAGAATCCAATTTTATTATTTTGGGTTGCGAATTGTATTGTATCTTATTGATATAGCCTTTAGTTTGTAGGCTATGGTATGGACTTTTATTTGATTTATTGTTTAAGTTTGAGTTTGTATGCTTTGTTCTAATGCTGCTCTTGTTTTTTTGTGTTTTCTTTTTGTCAAATGACTTTGTAAACCTGCATGTAGTGAAGATGCTATATCAAGTTGTTTGTTATTATTACCATTGTTGTTATTGCTGTTGTTGGGAAATTGAAATGTGCATTGCTCCCATGTTATAGTCATTATTAAGTAATATCGACCAGAATATTTCAGTAAACTACTGTAACCTCATTTGTGGCACATTTCTCATTGTAGCTTAACCGGTGTTTGGTTTGACGAGACCATTACCTAACACTGATGCTTTTACTTTGAAATGTCAAAGCCGCTGCAGCGCCTCACCGGTGAGAACTGGCTGAGGACGATTACCGGGGGCTGGTTTGTCCTCGGCTGCATTAAAAAGCTGGAGCTGCAGCAGCTGCACACACATCAAAGGCTCTCCTTCTTCTTCTTCTTCTTCTTCTCCCACACTGCGGCTCCCACCGACAGGCAGGTTCTTCTGGATGGTGAAGCCATTTTTTTTGGGTCATTTTTTTTTTTGCAATCTTTGACACACAAGCGGGATCGGTGTCCGCTCCACATAACGGAACATAAAACGGACATACCTCGAATTGCAGCCGTCCACGGTAAGCACGGGCTGCTGTCGGACTGCTGCTGTATTAGTCTGCTGGATCTGTGTGGGCGGGATAACACATACAGGACAATTCATGTCTTGTATTCTTATAATAAGGACTTTACATTGGTGGCTGTGTATGTTTTTAAAGCAGGGATCTTATCGTGGCTTTATGGGCTTTACGACATTTCTATCCACTGCTACATTCCCATATCATTTTAAAACAGTGTGTCATTTATATAACTCGAGTAGGCTGCATTTGATAGACCAAATTAATATTTAAGCTACATTAATTTAGGCCTATTTCAATGTATCACATAGCCTGCTTATATTTTGCAAGGCCCATAGTCTACTGTGTCTTCCTGTCATATTTTGAGATAATTCTAAAAAAAAACCTCTGATGCATCGTCGCCTAGTGTTTTTTCCTCCCACATTATCTCTGATTCCTCTGCAGGTTAAATTGATTTCACGGTGTGCACCTTTTTTCCTTGAGAAACACTGTAGGATCAACCTCAGTGCTTCTGCGTAAAGTAGCCTATCGTCCTATCACACACAAAAAAAAACAACTGCAGTCACAGTCGTGATGTCGGCGCACTTGTCGGGGGTTAAAATGATGAATTCGGCTGATCCATTTAGACAAACCTCACTGTGGCTGTCTGCGTGCAAATTGCCATTAACGCTGGTGTGTTCCTTGTTTCTCTGTTTTGTCTTTAGTCGAGCCGTCTCGAAGATGATGCTCTGAGGAGAAAACAGCTCAGGGTCCCCGGCTTGTGTTCATCCTGAGGCTGCAGCGAGCGGAGCAGGGGGGACTGCGCTACAACAAGGTTAACGATCAGCATCGATAAAGGTCTTCTCTGTTAGCGGGAGACGACTTCAAAAAGGGTGAAGCTTGCCCCTGTGTGGGGGGCCGGGGGGTATCGGCGGAGAAATTTCGATCTCTGAAAAAAAATTATGGCCACCCTACTGCGGAAGATCGGTCTGATCCGCCTGCACGACCGAGACACCGAGGACCCGAAGCACCACCAGGGCTCGTTAAAGGGGACCAAAGGGAACCAGAAAAACAACGCCAACAAACACTGTCAGACTGCGAACGAAACCAACATCCTGAGCACCCCGGAGATCAAGGCGAGGAAGCTGGACCAGCAAGGCAAGGACAAGCCGTCCGGCAAGGATAAGCAGGGCAAGGACGCGAAGGAGAAGCAGCAGACGGGAGGAGGTGGGAGTAAAGCGAACAGTGCCTCCTCGATACCACCGCTGGCGCCTCATCGGCAACACTGCACCCAAGTGAGGACGCGCCGGCTGATGAAGGAGCTACAGGAGATTAGGAGGTTAGGGGACAACTTCATCACGGTGGAGCTGGTGGAGGACAACCTGTACGACTGGAACGTCAAACTGCACCAGGTGGACAAGGACTCGGCGCTGTGGCAGGACATGAAGGAGACCAGCACCGAGTTCATACTGCTCAACGTCACCTTTCCCGACAATTTCCCCTTCTCGCCGCCATTCATGCGCGTCCTGACGCCACGGTTGGAGAATGGCTACGTGCTGGACGGTGGGGCGATATGCATGGAGCTGTTGACCCCCCGCGGGTGGTCTAGCGCCTACACGGTGGAGGCGGTCATGAGGCAGTTTGCAGCAAGCCTTGTAAAAGGACAGGTGAGAGGAGGAAGGGCTGGTGGGTGAGGGTCCTTGCATGAAGTACCATCAGCCGTAAAGCATTCTGCACAATTATTTCAGCCATGCTACTCGCTGGATAGGAGCACTTCCATTAGGCACTCGTGCGTCATGCGTAATTGAAGCGTAAATCTGCTTCCACGCTGATACAACACATGTCCACCAAGTCGAGGTTAAGTCTTACGTGTAATGTTTGATTATGGTTCTTCCATGTATCAGTTGTATTAATAAACTCAGTGTCTTTTCACAAGTGCCATTTTGGGCACTACTGTTTTGCTCTCATATCCAAGTTAAAGCAAATTCAGTCTCTTTTAATGTTTGTTTTTAAGAGATCAATTCTTTGTCAAAAAAAAGGTGGCTTTGTTTAATGCTTATCCTATTCAGAGCATATGTTGGGCTCAGTGCGAGCTATTGTCGGTAAGGTAATATTTCAGGCCTTCAGTCTCCTCATTGCCTCTCAGTATTGTGATCTGTATTAATCTTTATGTGACTTTATGGCAGCCATTTCATGCAGTGCAGCCCTCACTGTCTCCTCCATGCTAGCTCTCCTCTGCAGCACTGCTTTGCTCTCCTTCTTTTTTTTTTATAGCTGCAAAAAAGCCCCAGCATGCCTTTGACAACAAAGAGCGGTTTAAATGGAGCGTCCCCCATAGAGGCTCCAATGCAGCCTCGCTGTATGTGTGCGTCCCCGATTCTAAAGGGGTAACACAAATCATCCAGCAAGTGTGACGCGTGACGATGGAGGAGAGAGATGAATAAATAGGCACAGCAGGTTGCCTATACCTAACTGCAATCCACAGTGACTTAGACTGACTAGGTTATGTAATCCTGTCAAATCCGTTTCGCACAGCCTCAGTGCACTGCAGCAGCAGCAGCTCTGCTATTCCCATGGAAATGGCTGCATCCCCCAATGCACTCATGGCTATTTTTGTACCAGCCCAGACCAGATTTTTTTTTGTAGTCCACCTATACTAAAATGACTGTTTCATTCATATCAAAAACTCACTTTTTTTTTTTTTTTTTGTCATATTCCTGTGATTTCATCTGTAGAGGCTGCTTCTTTCTCATAGACTCACACTTTTTGACGTCAGCAGTGTGACGGCTCTGTGGCAGAGGAGACCTTATGTAAACTGTCACTGGGTTCTCCTGCCCAGCCCTACAAACCCTCTGAGATTTTGTTTTTGTCTTTGATGATATAACTGAACGCTATCACTGAGTCATCCTTGGTTATTACGCATCTGTTAAGCGAGAGAGGTCATGCAATAAACTGTACCAGAAGCAGAGAAAGAGAGAGAGAGAGAGAAAGAGAGAGAGAGAGAGAATGTGTTCATCTTGATTTGCTGCTTGAGGAGACGGGTGAGCAGCTCTGCAGTGCTCCCTAATTATGGTGCAGTGTCTTCCCTCTCCAGCTGGCTAATGGAAACAATATTGATTAATTATTTCTGTGTGTGTGTGTGTGTGTGTGTGTGTGTGTGTGTGTGTGTGTGTGTGTGTGTGTGTGTATCGTTGTTGCCTCTCTTGTGGCTATGTACCTACAAAGATGCTTGTATGTGTTTCATGTTCTTGTTTATTTGGAGAGAGACTCGCCTCTCGTGCATCACGGCCAACATAGCTCGCATGGCGCTATATAAACCCGAATACAGCCAATATATTTATTCGCCCATACGGCACTGCTACTTTGACAAGAGTGGCTTGGCTTTTTTGAGAAGCTCCTTTCCTGTTTGCAGGAGTGTGAGAGGCTACATGTAATGACAGACTGCTGAGGCCAGAGCCAACAGAGACAGGTCTAAACCTGCGGATGTGTGGAAACGCACACACACACACACACACACACACAAGATGACATTTCCAGAGGTTTGAGTGAACTAAAGGCAATTGGCAGTTCTTCAGTCTAACTTTTTAAGAACAACAATTTTAAACAATCTGTCAGGTGGTAAATCTAGCTTTGGTGACAGGCGATGAAATGTCAGATTGTACAGTACGTCTGTTTGTCTACTGTACACAGACATGGCATTTAGTTAATTTAGTTCAACATAGGTGTCTTTATAGTGTGATTTGATTTTTTCTGCTTTTTTTTTTGTACAGCAGTGCTCAGAAAGAAAACATGAGTCATTTGCAGTTAGTCTATCACTGACTGGCTAGAAGCTACCTCTTCTACTTTTGCACTGCAGACAGCTCTTTTTCCCTAACTCACACTGTTTATAGCTCCAACTCAAACAAATATTTCAGTCGTTCAGCCTTCATCATGTTTATTTCTGCTCTGTTTTTACACAGTAGTTAGGCTTTCATTTCTCATCTTTAACCACAAAGTGTTTGTGTGTTGTTGTTTCTGGTTGTACTGATAGAAGTGAGACTCAGAGTGAGAAGATGGGACACACTGTTTCAGGATGACAACAATTTGTGGTTGTTGATTAATCATAAAAAGTAGCTCCTGACGCAAAGTTGCATATTCCCTCGTGCCACTGTTTCAAACCTTTGTTTGGCGTTTGACTTTTTTTTAATGGGCATTTCACTGACTAAGCAATCATTTCATTTTGACAATGTCTAAGACAAAGATAACTGGATGATCAACGTAGAGTATGAAATAGGTTGCAGTCCCAGATGTTATCATTAAAATAATGATACAAATTTGCCAAACAAAAATTAAAGGGACAATCCATCAATTAATAACCCCTCTTCCATGACGTTTGGAGACTCACATGAGTCATAATTGAAATCAAGGCTGAGCAGAAGACTATATTATAGGCCAAGTCCCAAAAGGATGAGGAATGTGACATTTCCTGCAGCTGCATGTCTTTCATTCAGTCATTAATGCCTCTTACATGCCTCTGAAACTCCAGTTAGTAGCACAGATGTTGTGTCTAAATGTCTAAAAAGCACCAAGCCAAGAGAACCACCTCATGACATCATCGTCATCATTGCTTTTGCAAACTTTGAAAAGTTCCTCCAGCAGAAGAAATGTTTTTCGCGTTTTCACAGGTTGAGTAGAAGTCCTTTCGAAAAGTTCTGTGAAACCAGTTCCGCCTGTTTAACGTTCCCTGTTGGATTGTTGCTGTAGAAGTTCACGTCTTTGTCAGCGAAAGACTGCTCGAAGAATGCGATGCTGGCTATATGTACAGACAGGGACACGTCGAGCGATGACGCGAACTGTAAAAAGAACCACGGCATCGCCCTTTAATGACCCCGCCATCAGTCCCACGGGGCTCTCCTTAATGATCTAATGACGACGCCGATGACATTGATCTCTTGTTTGTTTATCCCATCCCTTTTGAGCACATGTCTGGGGTTACGCAATCGCCCTACCCCCCAGAGCTCTCTTCCCATCATGCACCGGGGCTTTCCCTGCTCTGCCCATTGACTGATCTCCATTCACACGATTACCCAGCAGCCACTTTACACAAGTGTGTACCGCTCAACGAGCAGGCGCTTAGCTGAAATAGATAAACACTGACATGGCACTGTAGAGGCCCGGGGCTCTCAATAAGCCGAGCCATGACACACACACACACACACACACACACACACACGCACACACACACACACACACCCTTTTGATTGCCTATTCTTTTTTTCATTATTTTCCTTTCTTTCTCCGTCATTGGAAGCATCATCATCTTCTCTTGAAGATCACAATGTACTTAATAATACTTAATTTGCCCTTTTTATGCTGAAGTCTTCTTCACAATCTTTTTGTCCATTACGCTGTTCTTGAGGTGTCTATTGGTTTTCTCTCTCTCTCTCTCTCTGTCACACTTTAACTACTGTTTTTAGTCAATAAATTGTGCTCACACTGTTCATTGTTCTCAGAAGTAATATGTCAATAAGAAATTAACAGCGATTGTGCTGACAAAAGATGCTGGCAGACATCGATTTATGAAAAGATGTTAGCAAAGGGAATATTCCTTGTTGCCATTGATCGCCGTGGTAATGACACCTCTTTAACAATGGCCAATTGCCATAAAAATATACATCTATGACAGCATCGGCCATTTTGAGGGTGGTGACAGCCACCATATGGCCGGGTGTGAATATATGTGTATTGTGAAAAAAAAAAAAAAAAAAAGACATATCCCAGATTTTTAGCGATGGCTGTAGCCAAGCGGCAGCTCTGCCTGTTGTTAGCTGCAATAATCTGTATCACAGACGTCTGGCTGCACAGAGAGGCAGGGCAGGTTTTAGTCAGTGCTGCTTAGGTGTCACCCGGCTGGTTTGTTTTTCCGTGTTTTTAAGGCTGTGTGGATCAGTTGTCTGAGAAAAGAGGAGGTTGTCCTTGAATGTGATTCGGTAGAGGAAAGGAACAGAAACTAATCCCCAAGCATTTTGTATCTCCCTAAATGAGTCACTCACTGAGTCATGTATCGCGTTTCTCAATACATTCCAGGATTGTTTATGTTCTTCCTATAGCCGTGAGATCGGCGTATTCTGCCTTGTTTTCATTTGCCGAGCAAATTTGAGGCGTCAAACTGTGTCACATTCCCATTAAGGACTTGTCATGTCTGGCATCTACAGTTAGGAGGATTGATTTCAATATTGATTGAAATACATGTGTCACAAACACTTCACACTGTACACTTGTGAGAGACACATTTAGGGAGAGTACAGTGTCTCTAAGCCCTGCAGTGAAATGAGGCCAGCATTGCTACAGGAATGGAAACTGTGTAACCCTAATCTCCAGATCATTCAATGTTACCACCTCATCTCCCTTTATCCTCCCGCATCACTTTGTCCCAAAATAGCTGAGCGAGTACACATGGGACAAACCGATCGTCCATCAGATGACCTGGAGGCAGAGAACGGGCAAACAATAGCCAAAGCATGTTTCAAATATACCCTCTTTCTTATTGTGCTATTACACTAACACTGAAATAGTGTATATTAAGTATGGTACCCGTAGATAATCTTCTATGGTGCTATGTACATGTAGTTTGAATGGGTCCAAATCACAAAAGAACGCAGATAGTGGAGGATTTTGGGAATATTGTTTGGTCTCATTGTGCAGATATCCATGTCTAGGCTAGAAATCTGTCTTGAACACAATGCAGAATAATTCCAGATCTGACCTTGGTGTGGACTTTCATGTTGAACAGAATGAGAATGATTTCTACAAAACTGCAGGCTAGTGTCTGTGGATTATTGGAAACTAGATAGCACTGCATTGCTTGTGGGACGGGACCATTCATTCATCCGGTAAATTGCATATCAAACAAAGTGGATTGTTGCTTTTTTTTCTCCTAGTTTTTATTTTATTTTTTTAAGATTTACTTTTGGGCCTTTTGTACCATTCTTGTGGACATAGGACAGTGGATAGAGTCAGACATCAGGGAGAGAGAGAGCGGGGGATGACAAGCGGGAAGGGAGCTGCAAGTCGGGTGTACTTGGAGGACTAACCACCACGCTACCGGCGCCCCTTTCTCAAAGTTTTTATTAAATATTAAACAGGATGTTTGAGCTTTCAAAGGTGTTTAAAGGTTTTGGTATTTTAGTCCAGAGCCAGTTTAGTTGCCCCTACTGTTAGTTCTCCGCTAAGCAGCTACTTTAGCTTTATATTTACTGTACAGAGAGATAAGACAGTGTTGTTAATATTTGATACATTTCTTGGAAAGAAATCAGACAAGCACACTTCCCAAAAAAAGTCAATCAGATGGAAAATAAAACTGATGGAAAATGTTCATGCCCTAAAATGTTGTTGGCTAAGACAAGTGTTTTCCTCTTTAAAAACTTGACAGGAGCACAAGTTGCAACTTGCAGCTTCGTCTTGAAGCCTGCGAGACTAAGCTGCAGATCATCAGTATCAAACAATATGAGATCATTTATATGTACTGCACTGCAGCAGCAGCAGCAGCAGCAGCAATGCATCACAACATTACATTTCATTAGCATTGGTTTCATGAAAAGTGGGGTTTACCTCATCCGCGTTCCACGTTCAGTGTTAGTTAATAACCTAACATGCTACAAGGAGTTAAATACAGCAGAAACATCAAGATTGACTGTGCATGCTGACCTGTTCGTCACGACTTTCAATCTGTGGTGTCATTGTGACTCTCAGGGATGATTTTTAGATAAGATATTATGCATTTCCAAACAGCAGTGATACTTGCCTGAGTCACATAAATGTCACGTCTGTGTTGTTATGGCTGTGTATCTTCCTCATTGTTTTTATTCACTGTGAGGACAATTGTTTCTTTCTCAATCCATGCTCCCACCTACTCCTCCTTAGATTAAACAGCACGTCTGCAAAAAAAAAAAAAAACAGAAACAAAAACAGCTGTATCACATCTGTTCTCCTTTTTCTTTTCCTTTTTTGTTGTTGCCTGATATCATCCCACGCTTATTATTAGTCCCAGTATGAGAGGGAAGGAGGCGTCAGCAAGGTACAGTAGTGCCCGGGTGGAAATGTCTCTGTGGTGTGCTTGAGATGCTTTTCGCACTGAGCATAAGAGACTGAGCTCGCCTGTATATTTATCTCCAGTCATATATTCAACCTTTTCATGATTCAGTGCAGCGGGCGGTCTGCGCCTCTTTCTTCTCCCCATAGCCCGATGTAGCGGAGGGTATATTTTCACGTCTGATCGAATTTGACATCTTAAAAGCCTCTCCTTGTGCTTAAACATCGATCTGATGTTGGTCAACCAGCATTCAGGCTTCTTGTCGTGTCGACATCTCCCATGTGGCAGTGCGTTCACCATCAAGTGGGACTGTCTTTCTATATTTTGCCGTGGAAAAACTTTTTCAAAAGAGGTTTGCAAAAACAGGATGAGCCCTAGAAGACCACCGACGTTCCTGATCAAAGAGAGCCAGCTTTCCTTTGATCTGACACGGCTCATCCAGATCAGATGAATAATGTTTTGACATATGCCGGTTTTTCAAACATTTCCCAAGAGATATTGTTTTTCAAGTACACAAACATAACTAGATCAACATCAACATGCTTTTTTTTTAAGCAAAGACTCCCAAATTCTGTTTACAGCTTAGACTCTTACACTTTCTCTGCTTCACAGAAACAATCTTTGCTTTAGATTTTTTTTTTTTTTTTTTTTTACTCCATGTAGACAATTAAAAACATCACCGTGGCTTTTCTGAACTGTAGCAGTTGCAGCTTGAAAATGATTCACTTCGGTGACGTGAGCTCACCTACGCATCCTAGATTTCAATTTAATTGGAATGAATTCGGTAAGCACCTGGACAAACACAAATGGAGACCTAAAGAGAGCTTCTTTCTCTGGTAGATTTAAAGATGTGATTGCATTACAATACATTTCCAAGATTTGGATCATCTGCAAAGAATTATCTTGATTTTTGGCTCGATATACCTATTTGTTTCTGCAATCTTGTGCAAATTAATTCATAATTTGTTCGTTTCCTTGTGACAGACAGCGAGAGAAACACAAATAATGATTGAAAACAGTGTATTTTTCCGACATTGTACTTTTTTTTCTGGAAGTCATTCGCCAGTAATTTGAAAATATGGAGGCCTTCAGTTCATCTTACTTCAGAACATTATATTTTAAACATATGTGAATAGAAACATACTCAAAAAGTCACGGGGGGGGGGGGGGGGGCTTTGCTCTGCCTAAAAGCACTACATTTGCTTACAAGCACCCCAAAAGCTGTCCGTTACAGTTACTCATTATCTCATACCTCAGCTAAAAGTAAACAAGTTTCCCAACAAGTCACTTTTTTTGTTTGAAAAACCCACCATGTGCAATATGTTTGGAATTGTATAGCACACGTATCCTCAGGTCTTTAATATCCCTGGAGATTTAGTGCTGGACATGATTCTGCCATTCTGTCGTAATGTCCCTGTTGCAGTGAGATAAGATGAGAGAGTAATGATATGACAGAGTATGAAGGTTTACTCCTATCCTACATGAACAAAGTGTTAAGTCATTTCCTTATTGTCCCAATAGCAAACACACACATACAGAAATATATTCTTTATCATTCTACTCAATCATAACCTCATTTCCCTCTCACCCTCTCCTCTTCTCTCTGTCTTCTCTCACAGGGGCGTATATGTAGAAAATCAGGGAAGTCCAAGAAAGCCTTCAGCCGCAAAGAAGCCGAGGCAACCTTCAAGTCCCTGGTGAAGACCCACGAGAAGTACGGCTGGGTGTCCCCTCCTGTGTCTGACGGCTGAGCGCTTAAGCTGACGACCCTCCATCCCCTGCGCTAGCTGGACGAAAACCCCAACTAGCCCTGACACGCAAAACAACACACCACGCTAACTCAACAATCTCTCATCGTCACCTTTTCGCTGATTCAATTCCTTTTCCGGTTTTGTGTGTCTGTGAATTTCTATTTTTGCCCTTTTCTCCACCAAAAATGCTCTGAGAGAAGACCCCCTCGTCATCACCATGACTCCTCAACCAAGAAGCAACCCCCCCCACCCACCCCCACCCCTCCTCTTTTCCAGCAAAGTTATTTTTCTCCCATTTCAGAGAGACCAGAGAGGGAAGTGTGTGTGAGTATGTGTGTGTGTGTTGTGTGTTTGTAACTCCATTGGACATCAGCTAGGAGTGTGTGCACGTGCATTGGGGTGTCTGTTACTGTCAGTGGATTTATTTTTTGTTTTTATTTTTGAATTCATGCACACACACACACACACACACGTGCAGTGGGATAAAGTTGGACAGTGTGGACCTTTCCACCCATGTGAAAGACTACTGAATGAAGAAGACTCACCCCCCTCCCGCCCTCTTCATCCTGCCCTTCCCTCTTCTTCGTCCTTTGCACTGAAGTGGCGTCACTTCCCACCGCCTCTCTCTGTAGCTGTCGGTTCATTTACATATAAATGAAGCTGTTAATGTTTAATAGACGGGCAGCACACTCATTCACTCCTTCATTTCCCCTCTT